TTCCATTGAACTGCATTATTCTAAGCTTGGCATTACAGCACAAGTGTTCACAGGAGGTATTTCCCAAAGAGAAGACTTTTTGCAGAATATCTACCTCAGTGCCTTGTAGCTTTGCCTTTAGTCGCATGCAGGAGAGAAAGATTTCTGTAATAGGTTGAATCCTACAGACACAGATGCAGCTGCTGGGTAGGCCACCAGTACTGTCTGGGGGGTCTATACTGCTGGTCCATATTCAACCTCCACAGAGCCACTGACCTTGTAGCTCAGGCCAGAGGTGCCGAAACCAAAGGTACGGACGGGGACCAGCTGCTGACCCATGGCAAAGCATCACTCTGCACTCATTATTCATTGCCCCTTCCCCTCCTGCTGCACCATAGGTCTTATTTCATAAGGCCCAGCTCTTCTGCAGGATGATCCAAACCAAAGCAGGGCAAAATTATAAAATCATAGAATCATAGAATGCTTTGGGTTGGAAGAAACCTTTAGAAATCATCTAGCCCAACCTCCCCGCAGTGAGCAGGAGATGCCAGGCAGGAGAATCTTCTAGCAAAGCAGATATCTGCCATGGACAGCTTCTTCTTTCCATGGAAGCATCAAAGGCTGGCCTTGAAAAAGTATCCACCCAAATACCCCTCACACAACGCACCCTTCTATTTTTATGTCAGCACATCTCCTGAGCAGAACCTACCACTTCACAGTACAGAAGGAAAGTTAGCTGCCTGTGGGCCATCTATACAGGCTCTTCTTCAGGAACTCCTGCTGCAGAAAAAATGCCAGAGTCACATGCAGGGCATGAGAGGTCCACTTTTATGGGAACTGTCAAACATAAAAAGGGCTGCTCAGTCAAGAAGTGGTATCTTAGGAAAGATATCCTAGCACTTATACTTAGAACTGGCTTGGAAGTTGTCTGCTTTCCTGGATTTTCCTTTTTAATAACGTTTTGTTATTCTGTTCTTTTCTGTTATGTGTGAGAATTTATAAAACATGCCTCCTTCAACCTACTTCAGCTAATATTTATCACTGAATTCAATAAGAATAAGCTTGTTCTCTCTTCTCCCTTTTCAGCCTAATTAAGATGCTCTTAAGCAACTCCCTTCTCTTCATTCCTTGGGTGATACCTAATTAGCTCTTGTAATTAAAACTGTACCCAAAGGGCTGGGCTTTGCACAGATGTCGGCATGGTTCCAGGCAACACCATGGGGTTACTGCCGGGCTCAGGTTGCTCCTCAGCACTGGGTGGGACACCTGAGGGACCTTGTATAAGATCCTAGCAAGGAGGTCTTCTGAGATTTTTTTGGTCAGGGCCTTGGGGGACTTTTCTGGATGTCTGTCCTGTGGTATTTTTAAACCAGATTTTTAAAATGAATATTTTAAAAATGAATAACCATTCAGATATGTTGACTTCCAATATTTCCTTCTGTAGTAGTCACCGGTGAGTCCAAAGTTCCCCTAAGTGAACATGCAGAGCCTGCCCTGGAAGATTTTCCATCACTCAGCCCTATCTGGAAATTTTCCTCTGTTCATTGATTTTTGGGCCAGAAAAAACAAAACAAAACAAAACAAACCCAACCTACCCACAAATGGATTAGTTCAAATTTTGTCTCTCCTTGTTTGAATGTCTTGCTTCAAGTCCACATCCAGCAGGGCTGGAGAGCATTCCTCACAGTCACACCTCCAGCAAACGTGATGCTCCCCGTGTGCTATTACTCTCACAGCTGGCTGGGCCACAACCTGCCTGAGCAGAGACACTTTGTTCTCTGAGACCAAGGGCTGACTAAGGCCATAGCTCTTCTGTGATTTAAGACAGACAAATAAAAGGCTGGGCCCAAGGCTGGCTCAATAGACATTCCAGATAGCGGGGAAATCTTTGCTGGGAAATGAATGAATTTCCAACAGCCCTCAGCTTCCTCATTCACACCACCTGAAATCACTCCAAGCAGGACACCATGGAAATTACCCCAAACAGGCAAGGTCGAGCAGAAGAGGGGAGAATTGCACCTTAGATGATATACATATACACATTGCAGTATTTCAGGGTACTTTTTTTTTCCCTTTTACCTGTAATTCAAGGTCCTTTTTATCATGGACCTTTATCATTAAGGTCATAGAAACTATGACTTATTGTCATAGAAACATCTGAAGGAATCTGATTTTCGCACATTCTAACACCAAGTCATAGGGTGGAGGCTTGGCCATGGGTGATGCAGCTCAGCCAAGAAAGCTGGGCAATAGGAAATTACGGGGCTGTAACTCCATGAATTACCATTCTCAGGAAGCCATGAAAGCCCACAAAGAAATGCTATGGTTTCTGGGTATGCAGCAAGCACAGTGCTAGCTGTTCCATTACTGTTTCTTCTTTATTCCCTTCTCACAGCTGCGGCATGAGATTCCCTGGGATAACTACACCAGAATAATCTATGGTGTGCTCTTCATGCAAAGATGACCATCAAATGGATGATGACTTTTTAACTGTACTTAAAAAAAAAAATGAAACTAGTCAGCAAAACTCGTAGATCTAAAAGTTAGTGGGCGCATGAGAGGGTGGGTGGTTGCTCTATCCCTGCGATGTTGACACCCACAGTCACAGAGCTGCTAAGAGGATTTGAGGCAAAGGACTCAACCATGGGAAAACATTAACGGGATCCCTTGGCACAAGGATTCAAGCTGGTCTCAGCATCCACAGCCCTACGCAACAGGTCGGGGATTATTTCACATGTGTGTTCCCGTGGACATCTAGAAAGGAACAAGGTATTTATTTTAAGTTAAGGAATGTTTAAGTCAGCTAGATGGATACATTTGGAACTGAAATTTGCTCAGGACTGTTCACAAGACCACACAGCCTCCCCATTCTCACCCAGCTTTGCTGTCCCACTCACTTTCACAGCGCTTTTGGCCATCTGGGTTTCTTTTGCTTCATCCACCACCACCCAGCCATCAAATAAGGAAAAAAAAGGTATTGACTTTTGTCATTATTTATTACAAATTAAATTTTGCAAATTATTGTCTAAAAAAATCAATAGATTTAAATAAATATACAGATTTTAGGATGCTACATATGGCATGTGTGCAATAAGTCACTTAAAGATGAGACATTATACACACGAGGAGATATACATAGGTCTTTACAGCAGTAGTTTTATTTTAAATTACTAGGCTCACATTAAACCATGTGCAAAGTTTCCTCTGGAACAAACCCTTTCAGGATTTTTTTTTTAGAATGACTCAAACCTTCAGCAGGTCAAATATAAACAAGTTTCTCTGCAGCTTTGGGGATCAAATTATTAGTTTGCTGTTTCATTTACAATACAATCAATTGGTCTCACTTTTCCCCCCTCTAGGGCATAAAGCAAAATCAAGGAAGTACTTTGTATGTCCAATGGGACTACACTTGCAACAGCCACAGATCTTGGTCCACCACCAACTTCAAGCAGCGTTTTCCGATGCTCATGTGTAATACTGGATTGGGCAGCAAGGGGGACCCAACAGTGGTTCCAGGAGAGCAATTAATTTATCTGCACAAACCAGATGACAGCTGCAACCACAATTTATAATAGAAGTTAATCTGCCCAGGCAAATAAAAGTGCATTTGTGATACAGCTCTAGAGCCTTGAGATTGTGTTTGCCTAAAAGATCGGTTTCTAGGTCCTGGGCTCAGTGTATTTTCCAAATCATCCCTTCCCTCCTCTGGGCCAGCAGCACTGTGCTGCTCCAGGCCTGGGGAAGCAGCCATGATTTCGGCACAAGTTTAAATCCATGCCTTTCTTCCAAAGCTGCGCAGACAGTGCTGTGCTCTCTTCTCAGTGATCCTTTCCTCCGCATCAGTCCCACCTGGCTGCCCCTTGCCTAATGCATTCTCTATTCAGGTTACACTTCTAGTGACGCGCTATCCACATACTGATCATTTATTACATAAAGTCCGACTCAGAGACCTGATCTAAGCGAAGCAGCAAGCAAGACTTTGCGTGCTATTTTCCCACCACCCATCCTCTCTGCCCCTAGCCTTTCCTTTCAGGCAGAGCTGAAAGAAACCCGGGATAGTAGGTTAAGAGCTGGAAGTACTCTACCCCACTAAGGGTATGTCCAAGGAGATGAGACAGATTCACAGCACTGAACTCATCCAGACTAGCAGCTCAGCTCTGCCTCGGTCCCAGCGGGGCTCCCTCCCCCAGGCTACCTGGGGCTGCATGCACAAGGCTCCTGCAGAATTACAGCTCCACTTCAGCCTCCCCACCCCTGCTGCTGCTGTGCCTGATGGCAGGGGTCATGCCTGGATTTGATGCAAGCTCCGGTGTAAGCAAACTACCCTCCACCTAAAGAAGAGCCACTTAAGGATGGCCCTTCAGTGAATTTCTCAGCCAAAGAATGCCACTGACTACTCAGTTGGCTTTCAGGCCTCTAGATGATATACATTCTTTTTAATAAAAAACCAGGAGCTGCTTTACCACGGGAGTCTCATTCATACGCACATCACGCTGTCTGACAAGCAAGAGAAAAAAGTGCAAAGGTGGGCTCACGCAGGTCACGCTGGAGGCAGTTTATCCCCGCCAAACCACCTCTGGATGGGGCCCAGCTGGAACCACGCTCAAACACGGCTCAAAGGCAGAGCAGACCAGGCCAGCGATACAAGCTCAGTGCTGCCAGGTCCAGAATTGCACCGAGCCGTCTGGTTTGTACGTGATTCAACTGCCCAGCGCGGGCTGACGCTCTGCCCGGGACTCCAGTGCAGAGTTAACCCAGTACTCTACCAGCAAGACCCTTGCTTGATCCAAAAAGGCACAATTCAGCTCCACGGCACGCCTGTGACTGTATGTATACAGTTTTCCCTTTACAACAGTCTCTGGAGCGCATGCAGTACTGGTTCGCGCAACAGGAGCACGGAGACTTCCGCTTCTTCCCCCTTCCACTCGTGGCCTTTCCTTCAGCTCTAACTACCGACAGCGGAGTTAGTGGCACCCACAGAACTCCAAATTCTTCTGGTGAACTTGGTATGCACCTGTTTCTTATCTCTTCTTCTTCCAGATGTTTTTCTTCCAAGGCAAAGCTGTTGGCTGTGCGTTCCTCTGAGAACGGTGCTGCTGCTTCCCAAACTGCAGACTGGAGACAGCAAGATCCCTGTAAACAGAAGAGACCCTATGTTCATGCTCCGGTCTATTTTCCTACTACTGAGCAACAGGCTGTATTATGATATTTATTTACTCCTTACCAAGGGTTTTTTTGAGGCAGAAGACGGGGGAAGGAAGAGGGGCAATTTCTAGCTGCAGCTGTATTAAGCCACAGCAGAGATCCATCTAGCCCAATATCCCCTTTCCACCAGTGGCCAGTGGCAGGGGCTTCAAGGAGTCCTGCAGCTGGGCATGACCCAAGTGATGCTTCCCCAGATCTGCCTTTCAGAAATTGTTCCCATTGCATCCGATTTAACTGCCACCAATGGACCAATCCTCCTTCAATTTGCCAACTCCTTTTAACTCATTTACACTCCCTGCAGTCCACGCTTTCTTCCAGCAGCGAGTTCCACAACTCGCTGACGTGATGTGAGAAAAGCTATTTCCTTTGGTCCAAAGCTGCTGCCCAATCAATCATTTTCCTACATGATGCCATCCGTCTCCCCCTTCTCGTACATCACCCATTTGCCTGTCCCATATCAGAGGAACCTCCTACTCCAATCAAGAATTACATTTTAGGTAATATTCCTCTAGTTTTGGAAGGACACAAGCAACCCTGGCTCCCTCAGCTGTTAGCCTTCAATTCAACAGAGAGCAGAAATAGCCAAGTCTACTCATTTAAAGGGAGACAAGAGAGGAAAGTCAGGTCAAATCCAAGTGGCAACTGCAGTCTGGGGCCACAACGGCAGCATTTAAAGTGCTTATGAGGGAAGTTCAGAGCAGGTTTAAGTGGCATGCTCACCTGAGAGCTCTCAGCAAGCCGTGATGGGAAGGCCTCACGCCACCGCTCTGCGGAGACTTCGTTGATGCTCCAGAGCTCGCTGGGAGCTTCGGACTCTGGAGGTACCTAATGAACAAGAGGAGATGCATGAAGCACTCATATCCAGCCATGCTATGGTAAGTACCAGGGGGAGTGTTGCTCTAACGTCACCAGTGACAGACTAAGACAGTTGAATGCGTGTTTTTGAAGGATTAATTGCAGCTATTTGAGAGCTATTTCTGGCTCACTTTACTTCTATCTTCACTTTACTCACAGTCATATTTAATCACTGGGGATTTTAACTATTGCCTTGATATGAAATTAATGACAGATCTCTACAGTGACTTTGCTCCCCACCTCCCCACAGGGAGCTCCTATACCGCTGGCTGAAGCGAGACAACTGAGAGCCCACGTGCACTATAAAGAGAGCTGGCTACAGAAGATACCTGACTTCCGAGTCCCAGCTCTCAGCAGCCCTACTCTCCTGCAGCCTCTCCGACCCGAGCCATGCAGGAGACACGGGTGTCCCAAAGCTTCACACCCTCCGCTTGCCCCTCTCCCAGCCTGCTGCCAGCTCCTCCCTTCCCACCAGCGCACCCAGCACTGCCTCAGCCTCCTGGCAGCAGGAGGGACGGAGGTAACATTGCTTCACATCAGCTAGTAAAGACATTATTGTACAACAAAAACACCCTAGTGACGCTTTGCCAGGGCCTCTTGGGAGAGGTATGAAAGCCACTAGACGAGTTCCAGCTGTTTGCAGAGAGCTGCGCAGCCATCCCCGGGGAGGCTGTAGAGTTCCTCCAGCTCCTAAGCTTTGTCTGCCTGCTTGCACCCTTGCCAAGCAGCCCCCAGGGACGTGCCCAGGACCCCCTTGACTTACCCAGGTTTCATCTGGCAGAAGGTGGCACAGATGTTGTCCCTCGAGTGCGAGCACTCGCACCTGCTGAGCGATCTCTTGCACCGCCTTGGTGGGCTTCCCAAGCCATAGGGAGCGGTGTGTCTGTTAAAAACAAAAGAAATCAGCTATGCAACTAACTTTTTATTAGCCCACAGGTTTATAACACAGTCCTGGGAGGCAGCCAAGCCAGTGCCAGGATAATAAAAGGCCATCTAAAGACATAAGGTGAAAAGGTCACTGATATATCTAAGCCTTTAAACTCCAGCTCCAGCTCCTCTCCCACCTACTGTTTTCCCCACCCTACCCCTCCCAGGGAGATTGTCGTGCCAGTATGTGCCGCGTTGCAAGCGGAGCTGTCTCTCCTTGCAGCAGCCCAGGCGCCCGTGCAAGGGTCGCCAGATGGGCTGGGCGAGCTGGCAGTTCACCTGGGCGGCAAAGCACACGAGGAGTGCGGCTGCCCCGCTTCACCAGCAGCGAGCAGCCAGCGTCTCAAGCACAGAGATGTCAGGGCTTTCCCTTCCCCCGTGGGTTTTAACACACAGGACACAGTAGAAATCAAGATGTCTTGGGGCCATAACAGGTTCTTCTGATCACAGCATGCTTTCAGAGCTGTTAGCGCATTCCCGCTCCATCTTTGATCACAATCTACTCTCCCAGAGGGTTTAGGATTGGCAGTGACTGCAAGTATTCTCTGAGCAAGCAGCGAGTTGTAATTGCACGTTAGCAAGCATGATCATAACCACACCTGAGTACATGTGTTTTGCTACGCTGTGATGGCCATTGGTCTGAAACTGCTCGGAAAGCTGCCGGTGCATTCTTGAGGGCAGGACTTGGCAGCCATGGGGCTTCAGTGCCAGCCCCCCACTGTCTCATTAACAATACTGGCAGCCAGCAGGCAGGGTTACAGTTCGCAAGCGAGTAGAGTAACTTTCTGACTTGCAGCTGCAACATCTTGCCGTTGCTTTCAGCTCACAGAGGTACAAATCTCAGAAAAAGATGAACCCATGAGGAAGCAGTGCCCTGTGCTTTCACCCCCCTCCCCTGTGGGGTATACAGAAACTCCTCAGCAGAAGCACAGCTTGTCCCTTTCTAGATGTTGGAAAGGACTGGACTTGCCATGCTCTCTAGCAGGTGCGACAAGAGCCTCGCAGCACTGGGACCCTTTCTCACCTTCCTCTAACCAAACCCCATCC